CACGTACCGATCACGTGGTACTGCATAGACGCGTCATTGTACACGCGTGTCGCATGAGCCGTATACATGTAGAAAATCACTCTGATTATTGAGGTGCCGGTGATCTAAGTTTCCCAATACTTGTTGTTTTTCTCTCCTGCACATTTCTTGTTACCGCCTGCTGCGCTGGAGCAGCACCGCCTCCAAGAACGGGGGCAGCATTTGGTTTCTTCTCACAAGCAAACTAACGAGCAATAGATGAGCTGTGGTGACGAAGAGATTCTGAAAAGGCACAGTTCAGCGCTCCGGCGGGGGAGGCATATTGCACGTTTGCTACTTTCCCATCAACGTGCTGAGCCATCAAGGAGGCCTGTGAAATCTTGTAAAGCCACGAAATAAAACCAGCCAGGGTTTATAGAGATCGTCTGTTCGCTCTTGTAAAGCGTACTTGTTGACTCTTGTAGAGTACTAAATTAGTGGTGGTTCGACGAGCTTGCTCCAGCTTTACAGGAGGTTTCAAAAGAGTGAGACTTGTTAACTGGAATTAGTGAAGCAGCGAAAGCGAAAAATGCATCGCCCCCGTCGCCGAGGGCATTCAGGGAGAATAGCTGAGGCCAGTGAAATTAACTAAAATTCAGTCATAGTATATAATCCCGATCCTACGTGTTACGTACTACTGTTTTCCTCGGCAGATTCGAAAATCATGAAAATCAAAAATGATTCATGCCATAGCCTCTCGAGAACAAATCTTATGCGACGTTGCTGGTCTTTTCAAAAATCATAAAACAGTTCATCCCACTGCGGACCAAGTGAATCTTGAAGAAAATCTGCTAAACATGTTTATATTCTGCAAGAACTCTTTTTGTAGACGTTGCTGTCGAAATATGGAGGAGAAGAATATCTTGAGTCTACACCAAAGGAATTGCTTTTTGCTCAAACTGAGCAGTATGTTGAATACAGCAGAAAAGGAAAAGTGCTGAAGGGTGCGGAACGCGCCCATGTGTTGAGTCGGTATGAAGAGGACGTGTAAGTTTTATTTTAGCGTTACTGAATTTTCTGAGCGTTTAAAAATTCTTGAATGCTCGAGAAACACATTAATGGTGCTATTTTAGGTACCCGATGAACCATACCAGTATCTTTGGCTTCGTACTGGAAAGATGGATTATGGGGCTACAGATGCTGTCATTCGTTTGTCAAAAACTCGTACTGCATAGGAGAGGAAGGCCTCAAAACTGAACGAAATCCACAAGCAGAAGTAGCGCCTACGACTAAAGAAGGTAGAATTGTATTTTTTAAAGAATTGTATGAATTAAGGCATGACAATTTTCTTGGTCTAAAATGGTCGCGGGGTGCTATATAGTGACAAAATGGCGAAAAAGCCAAGAAAACCGGTCAAAAACCCTACGAAAAACTTTTGTTCTGCATGAGTCAAGAGGCGATTTCGGAAGGGTTTCTCACGTCATCGTGCCGGTAATCGTGTCTTAGTATGTGCTACAAACCTATGCAACACCGCAGCCGCTTCATATCAATCCCTTCGGTTCGTATAGTACTTCACAACTGAAGCGATACGAGCATCAGCATCGTCGTCCATGTGGCGCGGTGTGCGTCTGGGTCGGAATGTCGCAGCTTGATACGGCGCTGTAAAGACACCTTCTTTGGAGAAAGCGCCACACAGCGTATGCTCAGATCGCCTAAGTCTGTCCTGCTAGGCGTTTAAATCCTACACATCTTGCTGATTTATCGTGCCATTTGCCATAAGCGATCGGGCGCAGTTCGGCCTATCAGTGACTGGACGCAGTTCGTCTAGGTGGGGGCAACAGGTGGTACTCATCTAGGCTTCTACAAGGCACATGTGAAAACCTGTAAATTCCTGCGACCGAAGTGGCTCATATGAACCATTTCACCAGCTTCACAGGTGTCTACAGTTCTGTGAAAAGGGGACCTGCTCCGAACAGCGGCAATAATTGTCCATAATCAGCGTTTTATGTACGCATTATTAAAAATGCTTCAGTTCCTAGAAGGGTTCTTTGAGAGAGGCTCATTTACTTCCTCAGCAGAGATCAATATTAACTGTTATCGTCGATAGTATGTTCTTTGTTTAGATCCACAAGCCATAAAGGAACAGGAAGTTCAGGCCGAATCTGTGACGGATGAAAAGACTGCTGCAGAGTCGTCATCGTCAAGTTCTGAAAGTTCCTCATCGGAGTCATCGAGCGAGTCTGAAGACTCGGAAAAAGAAAAGGAAATGGAACGAGAAAGAGAGCGCAGTACGTCACCATTTCATTTTTTTCGATTTTTTTTATTTTTAAAATATATTGTCGGGTT